TGAAAGAATTTACCAGCACCAGACCAGATCTCCAAGAAGTTCTCAAGGGAGTGCTATGTCAGGAAAATTAAATATAGACACACAGAAATAAGAGTTCAAAAACTAAGAAAATTGGCCAACTTAATCGTAGGGACAAGTCTGGAGTTGAATATGATATCCCAGAATTCAGCTGGGAAGATGGAACCACAATAGAAGACAGATTAAGTACATGAGACTGAAATAGCATTATGTGACTTTTGACTAAAATATTGCTACTTTTCTTCTAGGCTTTGTTGTCTGGGTTTTAAGAGTTTTTGTCCTGTCTTGAGCTGTCAGTAGGTTCATGTACCTACTATTTGAACAGAATACTAACCTGTTTCTAGGCTTTAAGCTTTAAGCAAATTTCCTTACCAATTCAAAACTGCTTTTCTTGAAATTACCAGCTGAACTTGCTCCTGAAAGTAGTTAGATTATTTAAGAAACTGTGTGATCAATAAAATGTGGAGGTAAAAGGAATGGCAGACAACTGTAGACACCAGAGATAGTGTGAGAAGTGGGTGGAAAAGTGTAGAGGGTCAGACATAGGGGTAAATATATAGATATGTGAAACTAGAAATGGAAAATTATTGATGATAACATACATGATTAAGCCACTATGCAGTATATTCTGGATGGGAAACTACATTTTGTATGCTGTGACGATGATTAGGGGATGAATGTAAATTAATTAATTAAAAAAATATTTCAGAAGAAAAAAAGAAATGTCAGAAATAAATATCTGTTGTTGGGACCAGCAGTTAGCATGATGGCAATGTCGCTGGACTCCCACGTAGTTGACCAGGGTTTGCGTCCCGGACCTGGTGGCTTAAAACTCATGCTGGGTGCGTATGCGTGCGTGCCCAAGATCCCAAGAGGAGAATGGAGGAGAAGAGATTGCGGCATGGCCTTCCCCCTGGAGGGTGATTTCTCGCTTTCTGTCCCTCTGTCTCTCTCTGTCTGTCTGGCGAGTGCACACGCCCTATAGCAAAAACCTCTCAAAAAAAAAAAAAAGGAAAGAAAGAAATATCTGTTGATGATAAAAAAAAAAAAAAGCACGACAGCCTATGGAGTAGTGTTTGGGGTGGCTGACCACACAATTTAAGTCCTGGACCTGGTGGCTTAAGAAATATACCTGGTGCATGTGTACATGTGCTCCAAATCCTGAAAGGAGGAAGAGAGATGGAGGAGATGGATTCCCAATGAGGGATGCTTTCTTACTTTCCATCTCTCTTTCTCTGTCTCTCTTTGGCACACACATGTGCCCTCTGACAAAATTTCTTTTAAAAATGACAGTTTTGTTTCTTTTTTCCCCCCTACAGACAGGATCTTGCCATGTTACCTAGACTGGACTTGCACTCTTCTTGCCTCAGACATGTGAGTAGGATCACAAACACATGCTACTGTGCCCAGCAACATTGGAATTTTGATAGGCACTGCACTGAATCTGTAGATTGCTTCGGGTAGTATTTTTATTGCCAAACAATATTGTGTGGGTATACAACATTTTGTTTATGTACTTTAGTTGATGAATATTTTTATTATTTTCACTTTTCTTGACTATTATGGATAATGATGCTATGAATATGTGTATATAAGTGTGTGCATAGACATATTTTCATGTTCATTTTGTATATGAGTATACACGTGTTTCATATTTATTTTGAAATAATTTCAAAGTCAGGAATGTGGCAAAATTTTTATATCCCCTTCACTCATATTCCCAATTTTTAATTTTATGTCAGAGGGTTTGTGCATGCATGTGCACATGAGCACACACACAAGTGAGAAAACCCCCAACAGGGCTTGATTACACCACATTCCCTTTCCTCCACTTCTCCATCCTGTCAGAAATTTGGGCACACAACACATGCATATGCAGTATGTTTTTCAGGCCTCTGGGACTGGGACTCAAACACTGGTCAGCCTTGTGGGATCTGACTCCGTTTGCACAGTGCTTAACCATTACACTACAATGCTAGGTGTCCCCCCACCCCCCAGTTTTTAATATTTTACTGCATCTGCTTTCGGTTTCTATGTAGCTATTTGACTTTGCTGTTGTTACCTTAAGTCTTTTTGTGAACAAACTGAGAGAAAGCTGCACTTCCAATGCCCCACACCCCTAGATAACCAGTGTGTACATCTGCTTAACAAAGACACTCTCCTTCATAATCACACGGCTTTTCATATCAAGAAATCAACATTGATACAACACAGATCCCATTAACATCTCAGTCAACAACATCCCAGTTGTTTCTAAATCCTACCCAGGACTTACACTGAATTTATTGTCATATATTTTCAACATCTTCCAATCTGGAAAAGTTCCTGGATCTTCCCTTGTCTTTCAAGGTAATTTTAAAGAAAATAAGCATTTCATTCTGTAGAATGATCCCCAACTGACTTCATCCAGTGTGTGCCACAGGTAGACTCAGACATCCTTTTTTTTCAGCCATACATTTTGACAGGAAGCCTGCAGCAATGTGGCCAGGCTCTTTTCAGCCCCTCTCATCAGAAGGCACACAGTGTAAACCTTGGCACCACTATGTTGAGAACTTTGCTTATCTGGTCAAGTGATTTTCCTTTACCATGAAAATCACCATTTTCCCCTTGTACTTGATAAATATTTTTTTAAATATTCTCAGATCATGCCAATATCCTCCCCTCATCAAACTCATCCACCTACCTTAACTTCTGTTAATGACCAAATCACTCATCATAATGATGGTCAAATAGTGATTTGTTACTTCATTTCTCTTCTGCATTTACTAATTAGCATTCCAATGTGAGAAGAGTTTTTCTTCCTCCCATTTTATTTATTTGTTCATTTACTTATTTATCTAAGTATGGATTTATGGATTCTTATTTCATTCAATGGATTGTGATGTATTATGATGATTATTTATTTTCATGCTCAGATTTTCCCTGATTTGGCCAGTGGGAGCCTCTTCATAATGATTTCTTGGTTCTGTGGCATATCCCTGTTATTCTATGTGTATCTCCTTACTTTACAGTACAACTACATGTTCTAGGCTCACCTTGTATTTTCCCTGCCTCAGCTCTGGAATCAGTCAGATATTTAAGGACCCCAGTTCCTTTTGGTGGAGAATAATATTTAGAAGTCAAGATCTGGGCTCTCCATGTGTCCACTGCTACTGAGATGTCATCGTTTCTAGGTCTTATCTCACGTACACACACACACACACACATCTATAAATATCTATCTTTAAATGTGTTTTAAAATCATTATTTTGGGCCATCATTATTTATGGCTTACTGGTTGGGGCACTGGACTCTCACATGGCTGACCATGGTCTGAGTCCCAGACCTGGCAGTTTGCGTTCTTACTCTTTCTCTCTCGTCAAATTAATAAAAATAATAAGTAAAAATAAATTAAATAATACTTTTAAAAATCATTATTTCGAATTGATATAGTTGATTTCAACCCAGTACCTCTGGACATTTGCATGCCTTTTCTTACTCCATACACACACACACACTTATTTTATTTATTCATTTATTTCATGAGAGAGAAATGGAGGAGGTACAGAGAGATAAGCACCTCAAACAGGGTCCTCACACTGCAATCCACCTCTGGCCTCAGCCAGCCTGGATCAGGGGCACATGCATGCATGCACAACAAACACAGAGAAGCTCAGCATGTTAACCAGACACCTCCCACATGAGTGCAGCCTTGCAGAGAGCTGTGTTACTGCTGTGCCACCTTCTGGCCTCTCTACTCTGTATTTTTAAGTTATTTCTGACAATGAGAAATCAGGCTTGTGTATGGGGTGTGTGCGTGTGTGTGTGCATGCGCGTGTGTGTGTACACACAAAAATACATGTGTAAACTTTAATATGTTAATTTATTTGCTTGATTCTCCCTGCATGTAAACATCTCCCAACCACGCTTGCAGCCTCCTTAACCCACTACCTCTGCAGCCCCCTCCTCACTGTCATCTATTTGGTCACCATCAAAATGTCATCAATTTGACACATACTAATCAGTAGATGCTGGTTCTCCCCCACACTGAATGATACGCATTGTGCCATTCCAACCAACATTCGAAGGACCCCAGACGGAACTCAGCAAACCATCTATTGGTTCATCAGAAAAGTCATGCGTATTTTTCTTTTTTTTTTCTTTGCAAAAATGCATCGTGAATTTTCCAACGACCCAATATAATTTGTAAGGAAAAGTAAAGATCTATGAATAATTATGGCAGTTTTTTTTTTAAAAAGAGCAAAAAAAGTAAGTTAGACACAGAGATGTGCATTCCAGAACCTCCTTCCAGGAGGAACTTGCCACCGGATCAGCACACAGCTCCAACTGCGGCTCCTTCAGCGCCAGCCTTGTTTGATGAGAATTGTCTCTTGCAGGTCACACCCTTCCTGAGCTGTCAGGATATTGTAACTGAGGGCAGGCAGGCTGTTTCAGTCTGATGCAAGACATGGTGGTAGTTAGCACTTCTTCCAAAGTGCCTTAGGGTTGGCTGAGGGTTTGCTGATCTGCATCTTAAACTCGCACTCCCTCACATTTGCAGGCTCTGCGTTTGCAAAACTACTCCATTTTATTGTATATAAGGAACTCAAGCATCCTCAAATGTTGGTATCTTCAGGGGGTCCTAGAACCCATCTCCCATGGTTACAGAAAAATGACTATTCTGCCCAATCCTGCTTCCTTTCTTTCCCCTTCACAGGTGCCGATCCCTAAGAAAACTTTTGTATATTGTGATGGTTAATTTTGTGTCAACTTGACTGGTCCATGGGATGCTCAGATAGCTGGTTAAACATTATGTCAAGGAGTGTCTGTGAGGGTGTCCCTAGAAATGGTTAGCATTTGAATTGGTGAACTGAGTAAAGCAAAAGGATCTCCCAATATCAGTAGGCGTTATGCAACCCATCGAGGGCCTGAATAGAACAAAAAATATGAAGGTAGATTGAACGTCCTATCTGCCTGAGCTGGAGCTGGAAAATTGATCTTTTCCTGCCTTGATGTTCTTAGTCCTAAGGTCTTCAGACTGGACTAGAATCTATACCATCTGCTCTTTGGCTCTCAGGCTTTCAAACCATACCACAGGCTTCTTCTGGGTCTCTAACTTGCAGAGGGCAGATTATGGGACTTTTCAGTCTCTATAATCACACAAGCAAATTCCTTATTCTAAGTCTCATTCTTGGGACCAGCAGATGGTATCATGGTTATGTTGTTGGACTCTCACATAGTCGATCGTACTTCAAGTCCCGGACCCGACAGCTTAAAAGTCATGCCAGGTGCATGTGCATGTATGCTCAAAATTCTGAGAGAAGAATGGAGGAGAAGGGATTGTGGTATGGCCATCACCCAGGGGGTGATTTCTCTCTTTCTGTCTTCCAGTTTCTCCAGCAAGCACACGTGTCCTATAGCAAAAATCTCTCTCAAAAAATCAAAAACAAACAAAAGACCAGCAGTTAGTGCAATGGCTATGTCGCTGGACTCCCACGTAGTCGACCACAGTTCACATCCCGGACCCGGTGGCTTAAAACTCACGCTGGGCGTGTGTGCGTGCGTGCCCAAGATCCCGAGAGGAGAATGGAGGAGAAGGGATTGCGGCGTGGCCACCCCCCCGGGGGGTGATTTCTCGCTTTCTATCTCTCTGTGTCTGTCTGGTGAGCGCACGCGCCCTATAGCAAAAACCTCTCAAAAACAAACAAACAAACAAACAAATAAATCTAATTCTAGATATATGTATGTGTCCTCTTGGTTCAATTTCTCTAGAGGATCTCACTAATATGCATCCCAAAGTCCATCTCAGCTTCTGCTCCTGGAGAATCTGATGTGACAAGGATGAATTTACTATAGATCATGATAGAAAGACTGTAATAATGTTACCATGGCACTAGCATAGGAAAAAGGACATCATGGAGAATAATATCTTTGCGACCCTAGTGGAAGACCAACTTTACAAAAAAGATCCCTATAAAAACATAAATTCTATATTTAAGAAAGGATTTTATTACATCAAAGTTAATAGTCTACAAAGGGTACCATAGATCCAATTTAATGAATGTTTGATAGATTGGCAGAAAATATGTACAACATTCTAGACCAGCACAAGGGTCATCCTCATAGCCTGGTAGCTAAGGAATCCAGATCCCATGTGGCTGACCGTAGTTTGATCCTAGCCCTCCTGGCTTGAAAATATGCTGGGCACATGTGCATGTGTGCCCCAAATTCCAACAGGATGGAGAAATGGAGAAGGGATTGTGGCATCATCACTCCCTATTGGGGGGGCATTTTCACTCTCTTTCTCTCTCTCTGGAGAGCACACATGCTTTCTGGGTGGGGAGAATTGTCTAGGAATTAATATATAAATATACAGGAAATAATTTCAAATTTAAAGAATATGGGGGAGGGACACCAGAAGATAGCATAGTGGTTACATTGTTGTACTCCCATGTAGTCAACCTGTATTTTGAGTCCTGGCCGTGGTGACTTGAAAATCATGTCAAGGGGACTTTTTTTGGGGGGGCAAACATGGCTATGGCTAGTGACTTCTACTTACACTGCTACGCAGGGTTCAAGGGCAGTACACAAGTTTCAGTAGTTCGAGTTTCGGGCGGTTGGAAAGCTTAGATATGCCAACTCAGCAATTTCAGAAATGACGTCATGATCAGAAAAGAGGCTTATGTACACAAGAGTGTAATAGAAGAACTGAAGAGAACTATTGATGACAATGAAATTACAAAAGAAGATGATGCTTCGTGGCCTCCCCCTGACAGGGCTGGCCAACAGGAGCTTGAAACTGTAATTAGAGAGGAACACATTTCTTTTACCACATCAAAAATTGGTTCTCTTACTGATGTAGATCAGTCAAAGTATCCTGAAGCCCTTCAAGTGTTTTACTACTTGGTACAGGACCTGAAATGCTTAGTTTTCAGTCTCATTGGATTACACTTCAAGATTAAACCAGCTTAAAGTGTATGGTTTTGAAACTTTGTATATTTAATTAAAGATCGGGTAAGGGAGGGTTTATTTGTCATTTACAATTTTGGAATTTGTATGAATGTGAAGCAAACAAAAATTATTTATGTATGTAAACTGAAAATAAAGAAATACATGAACAGGCTTACTGTTTATGCTCACTTGGGTCCAAGTGGGGTGGGCAGTCCCCACAAACATAACATTTTGTAACTAAAACCCTTTTGTTGGAATTTTACTTCAATAAAACATACTAAAGCCTGGAAAAAATAAAAAAGAAAAGAAAAGAAAATCATGTCAGGTGAGTGTGTGTGCATGCCCAAGATCCTGGGAGGAGAATGGGATTGTGACATGGCTGTCCCCCCTGGGGGGGTGATTTCTCACTTTCCCTCTCACTGTCTCTGTCTTTCTCTTTGGCAAACACATGCGTCCTACAGCAAAAACCTTTAAACAAATAAAAAGAATTTAATCACATTTAATTCAATGGGATACTATATACACAGCTGCTAAAAAGAATAAAAGCAGTCTATACCTCCATGTGGAATATGAAGTATAATACATTTTTAAATGACAAAAGGAACCTGCAAAATTACATGTGTAGTAAAAAAAGATTGAATCAATAATTCTTGTTTTTAAATTTTTCTATAGGGTGCATGTGCTCCCTGGAGATGGGAGGTGGGGAGGTGGCATTTGGGAAAGCACATCCTCCTCCCCCCCCCAGAGAAAATGGCTACACTGAAATCCTTTCTTCACTCTCCTCTGTGACTTTGGGGACACACACACATGGGCCGGATACACACACACGTGTTTTTTCAAGTTGCTCTGTCTGGGACTTGAACTATGCAGTCAGCTATGTGGGATCCAGCCACCTTACCCACCACACCACTGCTGGCCCTTGAGTTAAAAATGTTAAGGATACATATATGTGCATACTATGGTCTGAATGTTTCTATCCCTCCAAAATTCATATTGAAACTTAACCCCTGCTGTGTAGATATTACAAGGTGGGGTCACTAGGCAGTAATTAGGTCATGAGGGTTCTGCCTTTATGAATGGGATTAGTGCTTTTATTAAAAAGACAATTCTGGGGCTGGCCCCAGGGCCTAGTAGTTAAGAGAGTTGAATCCCACATGACCTATTGCAATTTAAATACAGATCGCCAGTAGCTTAAATAACATGCCAGGTGTGTGCATGCCCCAATTCCTGACAGGATGGAGAAATGGAGACAACATGCAGTGTGACCACATCCCTTTGCGAGGGATGGGGGTGCTTTCTCCCTCTTCTGCTCTCTCTGTTTTTATGGCTCTCTCTGGTGAGTGCATGTGTCCTCTGGAAATTAACACCCCCCCACACACACACACACACAGAAGCTTTTCTGCCCCTTCCACCATATGAAGATTCAGGGAGAAGGCATCATCTTTGAAGCAGAGAGAGGACTGAATTCAGATACTGAATCTGCTGGTGCATTGATCTTGGACTTTCTAGCTTCCAAAACTGTGAACAATACATTTCTGTTGCTTACGAATTACCCAGTGTAAGGTATTTTGTTACACAGCTTATATGGACTAAGATTGTGTGTCGGGGGGAGGAGGACAGCCAGTGATGTGATGGTTAAATTGGCTGGATCCAACATGGCCCACTGTGCGATTCAAGTTCTAGACTCAGCAGCTTGGAAAACATGCTGGGTGTATGTGCACGTGTGCTCAAAATCCTGAGAGAATGGAGGAGAAGGGATTGTGATGTGGCCATTGCCCTCTGGGAATTGCTTTCTCTCTCTCTCTCTCTCTCTCTCTCTAATGCGCTCACATACCCTGTAGCAAATTTTTGAAAAGGTTTGTTTATGTGTATTATAATATTATCTCCCAGAGGTCAAATTGCTAGGTCAAGGAGATTGCACATTTCAGAATGTGATAGGTTATTTCCCAACAATGCATTACTTCCATTAGTAATGTATATCTGCCCAAGATACATTTACTTGTAGCTACCACTGCATTTTTCTACTCTTTATAGCAAAATGCTTCAAAATAATTGTGTTTGTTTGATATCTATAGTCCCTTATTGTCCTGTCAAGCCTCTCAAACTTAGCCATTTTGGGGACCAGCTAGATGGCGTGATGATTGTGTCATTAGACTCCCACTTGGTGACCAGTTCAAGTCCCCAACCCGTGGCTTGACAAAAATCACTGGGTACGTGTGTATGTGTACCCAAGATCCCATGAGGAGTATGGAGGAGAAGGGATTGCGGCATGGCCATCCCTCCTGGGGGGTGGGTGATTTCTCACTTTCTCTCTTGCCATATCTGTCTGTCTCTTTCTTTCTCTCCCAGCCCCCTGCCCTGGCAAGCGCACGCACCTAAAGCAAAAACCTCTTAAAAAAATAAAAAAGCCATTTTCCCCACTAGTTTACTGAAATATCATTTGTCAAAAGTCATCAGCTGGGGTGGGACCAGCAGTTAGCGTAATGGCTATGTTGCTGGACTACCATGTAGTCAACCGTGGTTCCAGTCCTGGACCCAGTGGCTTAAACTCACGCTGGGCGCATGTGTGCGTGTCCAAGATCCTGAGAGGAGAATGGAGGAGGAGGGATTGCGGCGTGGCCATCCCCCCTGAGGGGTGATTTCTCACTTTCTATCTCTCTGTCTCTCTGTCTCTCCCTCTCTCTCTGTCTGGCGAGCGCATGCGCCCTATAGCAAAAGTCATCAGCAGGGGGATCAGCAGTTGGCACACGGCTATGTTGCTGGACTACCATGTAGTCAACCGTGGTTCCAGTCCTGGACCCAGTGGCTTAAACTCACACTGGGCTCCTGTGAGCGTGCCCAAGATCCCAAAAGGAGAATGGAGGAGAAGGGATTGTGGCCTGGTCATCCCCCCTGGGGGATGATTTCTTGCTTTTTGTCTCTCTCTGTCTTTCTGGTGAACGCATGCATCCTATAGCAAAAATCTCTCAAAAAAAAAAAAAAAAAAAAAACCACCAAAAAAAGTCATCAGCAGTAGGGGCCAGCAGGTGGCGTGATGGTTAAAGGCGCTGGATTTCCATATGGCCAGCTGTGGTTTTAGTCCTGGACCTGGTGGCTTGCTTTCTTGCTTTCCCTTTCTCTCTCTCTTTCTCTGGTCAAATTTTTAAAAATAATAATAACAACAAATGGAATTAAATAAACAAATAATTCTTTAAAAATATTTAAAAACTCACCAGTCGTCTCTATTATGAAAAATCTAATGGTTGACTTCTGATCATCATTCCTGATACCTCAAAAATTTTCAGTCCCATTGAATGCTCTTTCTCTCTTAAAGGACCTTCTGTACAAGACTTCCTGTTACCTTTCTACTTAAGCAGCTCTTCCATTTTAGTCTCATTTGCTAGCTCCTCCTCCCATTTTGAAATGATAGAATGTTCAACACTCTGCCCTCACTTCTTAGTGATCTCATCCAGTCCTGTGACTTTAAATATGATCTC